ATTCAGGAGATAAATCTGCCATTCCAAATATCTAACCCCAACTCCGATCATCCATCGATGGTCTTTGTCCTTGTGAGTGCAGATCCCTAGACAAGCGCCATGCCAAGACGACGAACGACGAGCGTGCGTTGATACAGACACACTATATGCAACCTATGGCCGACCCGCGTCAAATCCGTCAACGCATGTTGACTGCGCCGCACCTGTCAATTCGCCGAGAATGGCCGGGGGGAACAGGGATCGCAATTACCCCTCCCACATGCATTGTCTACGCACACTGCAGCTATAGGAGCCTCTCTTTACGGCCGCCTGCCTAGATCCTCCAGCCGGCCAAGTGTTCGCCCTGCAGGTTCGCTCTTTTTTCTTATTATTATTTTTCGAAGCGCTGTTGTTTTTGCGCATTGCCTCGATTCTCAGATTCTGCTCCGGGGGCCAACCAGACCACCGGGTTCTCTCCCGGGTCTCTAATCACTCGTTGGGTCAGTTAGCTACCAACGCCATCCCCGTCAAGCACTTCACCAAGAAGATCTTCGCTCTTCTTGGTCCGTTGGATATGCAGTGGTTGGCTAGTGCGCCTCCATGGACGTCTTGTTTTGATATAACTTCAACGCACACGGGAAATCTATTTGCTCTAGTCACCTTCTCTCCATCTCTCTTCATTCCTCAGCCGTGCTCGACTTGTCGCCCTGGGGAGAGAACCCATGCTCTCTGTGGGGAGTTTGATAAGTTCTGAAATGAACACCGTACTGGGGAGTGATTTGTCCTCCCTTCGGTAAATTTTAACCTTGAACGCGTCACCCTTTCAGTCCCCATGAAAGATTGGTTGAAGGCCATGGCTACTTTCATGAAGAAGTTCAAAAGGAAGCGCAGAGTGTCCACAGAGCTCCACTCTCGCTGGGGTGATGTTTCTATCACCTATCCCACGCAAGGGTCCTGGAATCAGTGGGATCAATCTTCTGGTTTCGTCGCGAATGCAACAGCGAGCACCAATATACAGCCCGAAGCAAATCAACAATACCCATCGGCCGGCCCATTATGCCAGCCGAGTTCTAGCGCCTCGAGCAGACGATCGCGAAGCACGGGTATCCGAGAACACCAAGTGGGAGACGCTCCATCCTTTCCGACTGGATATTTCGACCAAAACATACGGCGTCGCGTTGGAGATAGAGATACAAATACACCACCAGGTCCAGGACTCGGCCTTGGTGATCTGAGGCGTGGGCCAAATCGCCGACCCTCAAGCTCTATTGACAATGACGAATGCACTACGGATGAGTCATGCGAAGAAGAGGAAGAAAGGGAAGAGCGAGATACTCCGGGCCCACGAATTGAATTAAGCCCTCGGGAATACGGCACGGGAGACGTGTCACACAGAACACGCGACGATCCCAAAGATTTCGATACCCCAGCCAGGTCTCCTCCGCTCTCTGTGACTTCGCGCATGCGCCGTTGCAGCCTCCAAAGCTGTGCCACAGAGCCTACAACGTCTGTATCTGGTGGCAACAACTCGAGACGAACAAGCTTTACAGCTGCATCCTCTATCTCTGCTCCCTCTATGCCACCCTGCACGCCTCAGGTTGCGTACAACGCCCTAAAGCAACCTCCCTTCCCGGAGAAAAGATACCCTCCCCGTACAAAACATCGGGAACCCGAGTCTGCGCCTCCACAGGAAATGGTGCCGTCCTATGATGAGCTCTATGGTTGATATGACCCCAACAAACTACGTGCAACTAGAAGTCTATATGTGGTGGTATTTTATTTTATTTGTTTGTCGGTGTCCCAGACCAAATTGGTCTTGTTCGAAAGTCCTGTAGTCGCCCGTCGGACTCGATTTGCCTCGATTTTGTTCAATAATTTTGCATTATGGTGGTTTATTTGCAATTTCAATTATCTCATATAATTATCTGAGCAGAATATTAAGGAAATTAACATCTGTACGTCTATCGTTTGTCCTTCCCTAAGTACATTGTACTTTACTTCAAAATCCGGAGTCCTGTCTTCCCCCGGCCCTAGCAAGAGGGGTGTTGCTTGGCATATCTGTCGCTTTCACACTCGAGGGATGCCGATAGCCGTTTCCAACAGGTCCTGTCTGGAATTTGCGACTTTCCTCAGATGAGGGGGTGAACATGCGCCCGTCCGTGCATCATGCAGACGGTATCACAGTCACAATTGCTTCTCACCAATCAAGCGTCAGAGTTCATCACACTCTGTGCACCTGCAGCTATCCACTAAGAGCAGGAGGACCGGTCGATCACTCCATCCCACCAACTGCTCCTCGATTTTCCAGCCAAGGTGCAGTCACCAACCAGCCTATAGGCGGCGTTCTCTAAGCGCTGAGGACCAACACCGGGAGTAGGAGGATGTGCTTGATTCGACGGGCCCATCCTTCCCGTTGCCTCGCCCGACAATTAGCTGCTCTGCATGTGCTTGATTGTGCAGCACTTCCCTGTCATCCTGGCCGTCACATCCATACGGAACGGAGCAAGAGCTGATTGCAGTGAAAGAAAGAAGCTTTCCCACCCCGAGTAAAGTCCCACAGTCCCGAGTTACAATTTACCGTCTCTCATGCCAACGTGAGATCTCTCTATCCGGCACTCTGCCCACTCTCTCCCACTTGGCGGTCGCTGTAACAGAAACCGTCGGACTCTGTTTCACTCCCGGCTCATCATGATCGGGTTAAGTGGCGACAGTTCACTTTCCTCTAAAATGCTGGCTTTTGTCCTGGCTATAATTTTGTTGAATAGCCCAGCTCTAGTGGTTTTCGGGTTGAAAACTACACCGGGTTCGCCCTGCACTGATGTGTGTGGTACAACGACCAACACTACATCATCCGAGATTGCGTGTTTGGATCAATCATACAACCAGACATCAGTAGGGAAAAGTTTCAAAAACTGCATCTCCTGCCAGTTGGACAGCGAGTTCAACGATGCGGAGACCGGAGAATCAGACGTGAACTGGGGACTCTGTATGTTGTACCACCTTCCGGAGATCGCAGACTGCGGTTTATCGCTCAGGTCTAACCGATCGAACAGATAACCTGCGATATGCTTTCTCGACGTGTGTGTTTGGATCCCCAGACTCGATCTCAAATGTCTCGTCACCGTGCCCAGTCGCATGCGATGGCGTGCGTTTAGCAGTTGAAACAGACGTTAAAACCCCAGACACATCGAATCTGGACTCGTGGTGTGAAAGCCCGTCGTTTGCAGATAACGTCGTCAACACCTGCGAGTTCTGCTACAACTTGACAACCACCCAAGTTTACATGGCAAACTGTATGTATGCCCTGAAACCCATTCCTATATCATATGATATCAGCAAATCCCAAGCCCAAAGGTTCAAAAAAGCACTACTAATCATCATCCAAACCCAGTCCTCGAGTCCATTCGCTACAACTGCCATTTCAAGACAGTAACGGGCAAGACCTTCGACATAGCCCCAACGAGAATCTTCAGCCAATCGCTCCTCCCCTCAAGTCTCTCTCTCACAACGCCCACTGCAAAATCCTCAAACCTGAATCTGGGAGTGGTGATCGCCGTGCCAATCATAGCATTCTTAATTATCGTCTCATCACTCGCGATATGTTGCTTTTTCTTCATCCGGCACCGACGCAAGAAGGCCCGCCGGAACCGCAACTCACCTCATCTGTACAACCGCTGGAACGATGGGTCGCCGATCAGCGCGCAACAGCACCAGCAGGCCTGGGCTGAGCAACAGATGTATAATTCCGGCGGGTATGGCCACGGTTCAGGCTTTGCATTTGTTGATAATGATGGCCGCGGACAGGAGCTTGCCTATGGCCCTGGCCAGGACCAACATTATCAAAGCCAGCAGTATCAGCAGCACATCCAAGGTCAGGACAAGTCAACCTTCACGCAGGATATTATCGAAGAGCCTGTACAACAGGAATACCAGCAGCAGCGTGCTCAGGTTCCTGCTCGCTCTCAGGTCTTTGACCCGGATCAGAAGGGCCAGCACGTTCAGGATCCTGTTCATCCTCAGGTCTTGGACCCGGATCGAAAGGACCCTCAGCAGTGGCAGTGATTGTTAGTACCTAGTTGTGTGCTGTATAGCATCGTTGGAATGTCTGTGGATGGCACAGTCAGTTGAAGGCTTGGAATAATGAGATCAGGATATCAGCTCCCCTATTGTTGATAGCGTTTGGGTTTCTCGTTTTACGGAGTTGTTCTGCTCTAGGATCACGTCGATATATCCCTGACATCTTGCAATGTCATATCTTTGGCGTATATAGTTTGGTCAATAGCCAACGAAGAAAAAAGTGTCCAGCAAGGCTTTCCCATCAAGTAGAATAATGTACTCAAAGTAGAAAAGAAGACAGAATATAAAGGAGCAGCATCCAATGTCACCAGGAAGGGCGGCAAACCGACTTATGTATTGACTGCCAGCCCCTCTACCACCTACCTGTACTCCGTACACACATAACAATCCGAAAATAGCATCAACAAGCCACACAGCAAAGCAATGACAACGGGACAAGCGGAGCCTACCTACACAAGCCAGACTGTCAGACAATACGAGAAGACCGGCCATATAACCTTTGAGCGACAGCCTTTTGTGTTCCAGCGCCGCTGCAGATTGGCCGGCCGTTCTGCAGGTGTTTCAGCACGCACCGCCAAGGGTCCAGGGGTCCAATAGGGATGGGATGGTCGACCTCGATGTTATTTTTGGATCTGTGAGCTGTGTGGTGATTTTTGGGGATTGATTATTGGGCGTTGGAGGTATTAGATGGCTTGGTGCTTGGTGCTTGGTGCTTGGTCCTTGGGGAAATGGGGTTTCAACATAGGCGCTGCCACTTGTCCACCTATGTTGTAGGTACATTGTTTGATATAGAATGAATAAATTGAAGGGTTGCAATTACACGAGAACTACGGAGTAGTCATTGAAGAAAAGCCGAAGAAAACTGGGGTAAGACAAGTCGCGCCCGTTGATCTACACTTTTATCTTATCCCAACTCTTTAACCACCCAAAGCTCTCAACTGGCCATGTCCAACCTCACCCAAGAGCAAATTAAAGTCCTTGAGCAATCGCGGCAGCGTCTCGTGCAGCTCACTCGCTCACTAGGCTCCCTGATCGCAAGTCTAAATCAAAGCGACCCTCTTCCGCCGTGGTAAGAGCGCTACCATCCAACCAACCCCATTCCCAGACCTCAGCCGAATACAACCACTATCCAGAAACAAACTAACCCCAAACTAGGACCTCCCTCCAATCCCAAGCAAGCATCATCTCCAACAACCTCATTAGCGTCTCCGACCAACTCTCCGACCAACGCGACCTCCTCTCCAACCTAGTCGCCTACCCAGGCCCAGAGTACCCGGGCCGAACACAAGCAAACACGCTCGAGCAACTCCTCCGCACAAAACTCGATCCCCGCGTCGAAGACTGGGTTGCGCGCGGCCGTGCAGCCGGTACAGAGTCCACCGCAGGGCCGTCTAATTTCAGCTCCGATTCCGATGCCGCGCATAAACCGCTGAGCGATGCGCAGCTCGCGGAGCTGTGGGAATGGGCGCCGCTGGAGGCGAACCAGGAAGCGCGGCGGAGGAACTGGGGTGGGAATTTTACACTTGAGGAGCGCGAGGCTGGGATTGAGAATGTTGTTACTGGGTTAAGGAGGCAATTGCAGGACGATGATGGGGAGGAGGAGAGTGAGGATGAGGATGGGGATGGGGATGGGGATGAGATGGATGTTGTTGGCGTTCATCGGAAGCCTGGTGCTGCTGAGTTTGAGTTCAATATTGCTACTCACCATCCGCATCCTGTTCAGCCGTTCGTGCCGCTGGATCTTATTTTGAGATATATGACTACTGGACGGATGCCATAGTCTCCCGATCTCCAGGCACTTGACTCAGGGCCAGTAGTCTGTGTTTACAGTTGTACTTGGTCTACGATTTCCCATGAATAGAACTTCTCGTAGCATGTTCTTCTAAATGCATGATTCCAAAAACGGACGGCAATATTATTCTTTTGAAAAAGCAAAGGTAAGCAACAGCTGAGCTATCTAACCCCGTCGGCGAGTGGTGGGTGTCTTGACGGTAGGTCTCGGGGACGCTCCCGTGCTCTGGGCCGATGATGCCTTCTCAGCTACCTTTGCGCGAGAAGCGGCCTTCTGCTTGGGCGCCGGTGCGTTCCAGTACCAGAGCATCTGGATTGCGAGGATCACATTGAGAGAGAAGCCACCAATGAATCCGTAGAGGATAAACTTGTCGTCGACTTCCTGGAGGGTCGTGAAGATTCGGGACATGGATCCGATGAGGTAGTTGAACACCTGATTAAAGAAACAATTAGTTTTGGACTGGGATCATATTGAAAGGAAAGAGAATCGTACCGTGAATGCACTGAGCTGTCCGGTTCCTCCCTCGCGCCAGATGGTGTAGATTTGAGGCGCCTTGCTAGCAACACCTAGAGCACCCGCACCAGCCTGCAGGTATGACATAGTGTGCGCATCCACCAGAGTCTGGTCGAACAACAGCGCATAAATGCTAGCAGCTACGACAGCAATGAAAGCCGCGGCGGCGGCAGAGCGTCCGGCATAGTTCAGGACTAGAACACCGATAGCAATATCCTGGACGGCGATGAGAGCAGTCTCGCCATAGGTGCTGAATGGGAACTGGTTGCGCACGCCGTACGAGAGAGTGATGAGCAAGCTGGCAGTTTCGAGGGCGTAAGATACGAATGAGACACCGGCCGATGAGCGGGAGCTGATCAGCTTCAGAATCTGCGGGATTTTGACGACTGCACTGGCACCGACGATGGCAATGCCGAGGGCCTTGGAGATGGCGAGTGATGTGCAGGCAGGGTCTTTAGTGAGATCGAGATCGACCAATAGTGCACCGTGGCAAGACTTTCCAATCAAGGACACGACGGCATCATGCACTGGTTCAGGGATGGCTGAGACAATAGGCGCCAAATAAGGTTGAAGAGGCGTAATCAGGGAGTTCTGAAGGATATCCATTTTGACGAGAATAAACACCAGAAAGGAAGAACAACAGTTTTGGAGGTCAGGCAATGTCCAGAAGAACAATTTGTTGACATTCCGAAGTCAACGGATGTGGCCCGTGCACAACCGGGGAAATTCAACTTCTTTCGTTCTCTTTTCTTCCTTCTGCATGACCGACCCGCCATGATCCCTCTGCGGCCATCCCTTCTACGAAGGCCTCGAGAGGCGCTATTGTGCTCGCAATGCCTCTTTGGGCCTCGTTCTGTGCGCCCCGAGGCCAATCGGGGGTTCCTATCGTCCTCGAAACGGCGGACCGGGACTGCGGATGATCAGTCCCCCTCGGTATTCCACAAATCATACTTCTCGGCCAATCGATTCTACGACGGGTCAAATATCAAAGGCGGCCTGCTTTCTTCACTTGCATCCTCCAATGCGAAAAGCAAATCAACCACTTCTTCGGCTCCCAGCAGTCCGAATGTCAGTCAGGTCAATTCGTCTGCAACAGCATCGTCCGCTGCAATTGCGACAGAAGCAACACCAGAGGAACTACCACATCGGCGGCGAAAGCGCTTGAAGGATGAAAGCAACGCAACCGGAAAACCAGAACCAAGCCTTCCGCTGGATGCCTCGGCGCAATTGTCGAACTTCTCATCCACACTCCCCATTACCTCCATCCGCCGCAAGTTGGCTGCGTATCTCGCCCTGACGAAACCGCGACTGTCCTTCTTGATCGTCCTCACCACCACCTCTGCATACGGGATGTACCCAATCTCGTCCCTGCTTACCCTCGACCCGGCCATGACCCCACTCCCCACACTTTCGACCTCGACCCTGACTTTTATATACCTGACGGTGGGCACTTTCCTGTCCTGCTGTAGCGCCAATACACTCAATATGATGTTCGAACCGAAATACGACGCACTCATGTCCCGGACGCGCAATCGTCCTATCGTTCGCGGCCTTGTCTCGCACCGGGGAGCTCTGCTCTTCGCCATTGGCACCGCCGTCACGGGCCTTTCACTCCTTTATATTGGGACTAACCCGACAACTACCGCCCTATCCGCCACCAATATTTTCCTATATGCTTTTGTATACACACCATTGAAGCGAATCCACGTAATCAATACCTGGGTTGGCGCAGTAGTTGGTGGTATCCCGCCGCTCATGGGCTGGGTCGCCGCAGCAGGTCAGACGGCGACGATTGGTCATGACACATGGCGTGACATGCTTTTCAGCGAACAGAGTATTGGGGGATGGCTGCTAGGTGCAATCTTGTTCGCCTGGCAATTCCCCCACTTCAACGCCTTGTCCCATCTGATCCGCGATGAGTATAAAGCAGCCGGGTACAGGATGCTATGCTGGGTGAACCCCGCACGCAATGCACGAGTTGCTCTGCGCTATTCTATTCTGATGTTCCCCATCTCCATTGGTCTCTGGTGGGTCAATGTCGTCGGGAGTGGTTTCCTTGTCGGCAGCACTTTCGCCAATGGCTGGCTAGTCCGCGAGGCATATCGCTTCTATCAACATCAGGGTGCGAACGGTACTGCACGTGGCCTCTTCTGGGCCAGTATCTGGCAACTGCCTATTCTCCTAGTCGGCGGCCTAGTTACCAAGAAGGGTCTGTGGGATGGCGTTTGGAGGAATCTACTCGGGCAATCCGAAGAGGACGATGATGAATATCTGTACTATGAGGATGAATAAGAGTTTGAAGGCGAGAAGGCTAAGCACCATCCCTTGCGCTATCAACCGGGAGTACTTTGTCCACTGAATGAGCTTTGAACCATAAGTCTCGCGTGCTGGATACCTTCCAGCTTCATTCATCTCACAGAGCTAACTCCCCTTATCTATTCGAACCATATTTTTGTTCTGGGATTTTGTCTTATACGGCGGTTTGGAGTGGCGTTTCTTTTTCTTGACTTTGTATAACACCCGTCTTATATGGAATCCATACAGATGTTTTCATTCTTGTCCTTTTCATTCTTTTTCTGCACTTTGATCAAATACCATAATATACAAGCTACTTCCCTTGGACACGAACTTCCCCGTCTACACATTCCCATGTCTGCGGAACCCTCATGTCAGCACTAAGGCTTTGGACAGCATGGTGGACGAAAATCGCACTCTGCGACCACTCTCCAAACAAGGCCTTAATATTAGGGCATTAGCTGGGAGCCTGTTTGACGAGCTTGGCCATGGTAGGGCGGCCAACTGCATCCATCGCTTGACAGGCAGGTTTGTCGTCGATACAGCTCGCAAAACCAATATGTGACACGCTTGAGTTAATTTATATCGACCAAACTTTGAGAGTTTCAGCACCAAAGCGGGAACCTTACCCATTCGGCCATAAATAGTATGAGATACCTAAAAAAGGCTACACGGCGAATACTCATATCAAGAGGTTGGTGAACTCTTTGTGTAATCCGGTTGATGCCGAGAGGAGAGCTATGTATTCAATGTCCTGGAATGCCAATGAAACCTCGGGTATAGTATATTACATCAGTATAGTACAAAATGGATTGTCCACGAGGACATTGTGATATACAATGGCCAGTAACCACGACCAACATCTACTTCCTCAACTTCAAGTGATACGTCTTCAATGCTTCCTCGGTCATGGGACTCGGCGCTCCAACCATGGCATCGTCGCCCCCTTTGCCAGTCTTCGGGAAAGCGATCACATCACGGACGGATTCCTTGCCGAGCATAACAGCAACAAGTCTGTCAAAGCCCAGCGCAAGACCGGCGTGCGGCGGACAGCCGGATCGGAGGGCATCGAGCAGATGTGAGAAGTCCGTCAACCGCTCAGCTGGCATTTTCAGGATGTCACGGAAGATAAATTCCTGCACTGCTGCGTCGTGAATACGCCGACTACCACCGCCTAGCTCGACACCGTTCACGACAAGGTCGTAGTGGTCAGCCACTGCCTGGGTCGGGTCTGTGAGGAGGAGGTCAACGTCGGCGGGGGTCTTGGGTGCGGTGAAGGGGTGGTGGGTGGACGAGAAGCCTGCTGCGCCGCCCTGACCGGGCTCTGAGTCTGAGGAGGGAGAGAAGAGGGGAAAGTCGACGACCCAGAGGAAGCCAAACCCGGTCGGGGCCGGCTTGAAGCCTGCTGAGACCGAGGCAGCGTGCAGTGCACGGCGTAGATCGCCGATGGGGGTTGAGCCCCCGGAGAAAGGCGCACGGGGGCGTGCCTGCAGAACGATCAGGTCACCGTGATCAGGGTCCAACAGTTCCTCGACTTGCTCAGCGGCTTCAAAGCCGAAGGGCTGTAGTCCGCAGAGCGGCTGCTTGCCATTGTAGACGAAGACGCCTGGGCCGCCGTCTGGGTTATTGTTAAACGGCGCACCTGTAGGGGAGTCGAGGAACTGGGTAATGAACTTGTGAGTTTCAGCGGGATTGTTGTCATTTCCTTCCACCTTGAAAGCCTCCACGATGGGATTGACCAGGCCAGAAATCTTGCCAACTAGATCTACGGGGAGAACATGATCAAGTCGAATGATTTCCATCCCGTATCTCGTGTCCGGCTTATCAGAGCCATATTTTGCCATGACTTCTTGGTAGGGGACTTTGCGGAATGGGCCCTCCGGAGCAGGGTCTTTCATCAACGACGACCAAAGTCGGCGAATAACCCCTTCCACGGTGCGCATGACATCGTCACCTGTCGCGAAAGACATCTCCATATCAAGCTGTAGATATTCAATTAGCATATATCACCATCAACCAACTAAGCATGGAGTAATCCATACCTGAGTAAACTCGGGCTGACGATCGGCGCGCAAATCCTCATCCCGGAAGCAGCGCGCAAATTGATAATACCTCGGCAGGCCACTAGCCATGAGAATCTGCTTATACTGCTGCGGACTCTGAGGCAAAGCATAAGCCAG